TCCAATGCAAATGGGGGAAAAAAAAAAATGGATTCAGTTCTTTTTATCTATTTATTTTTATTATTATCATTTATTTTTTATGAAACCAGTTTTATTTCTGAGGTTATGTTTTTTTTTTAATACAAAGATTTATGTAAATTTATACATAAATAAACATGATTTTAATATCATCATTAGGCATAAATAAAGAGAAAACTCAAAAATGGTAGTTTTGTAAACTCCTCAAATGAATTTATATTAAATTTGAATTTCTGGTCAATTTTCCACTTACTGAAATTTTTTTATGGAAATTGCTTTGTTCTGCAAAAACACAGTAAGTGGAAAACTGATCTAGCGATTTCAGTTACAAGTGTTCACAAAACTGTCATTTTTTAGTTATACCAAATGCACATTGAGCCACATGTGATCTTACAAAAAAATAAATCTAATGGTAAAATCAACTTAATAAATAAATTTAGTAGGATACATTCTAAATAATGTATTAAATTACCTTAAAATAGCTTCCTCTTCCTTAATTTTCACTTCTTAATTGTAATTAAGAACAACAATCTCCTTAAGTTGTATAAAAACCAAATAAAAAAAAAATGTAATTATTCATTATTATGTGACAAGGATTAACTTATTCTGGATAGAGCTAATAAAAAAAAAACTTTACCAACTCTGTGAGATTTCACCTTATATTTTAAAGCAAGAACTACATGATTATTATTGTACCTAACATTATCTCACAATGTACTTTGGATTGGAATTGAAATATGAAATTAATTTTTTTTTTTTTTTTTAGTTGGAACTTCCTAATGGTACATGGGAAGAATGAAACTTTAATACTTGTAGTAAAATATGGTTTATCTTATGGAGACGACTTAGATGGAATGGACTTCTACTTTAATATTATATATTCATATTTTGATAATAAAAAGCTCAATCAGATATTTCTTTTTTTTTTTTGTTTGTTTCAATATCTTTCAAACAATTGTTTTTAAAATTGTAATGAGTGAATTTGTAAAGATTCATACATATTTTGGTTTCTAATTCTATGGTTGCCTTACATTTTCAAACTGACACACCAACCAATGGATATGTCTTTATTAATAAACTCATGATTACATTCTTTCATCAACTTTCAGATTTCTCCTACATGTTTTCTAGGGATGGTTCAGAAATAATAGACCTGTTATTATGTAACAGGTACATGATAACAGAGTTTAGGATATTTTACTGATTTTAAGAAGTAATAGCTACAGTATACCCGAACAAGTATTTTCACTTGTACTGTGTACAACCACTGGATAAATATTTTGTCCCAGCTTCCTCTTCCAGAAATACTAGATAATATATAATATTTTGTCCTAGCTCTTTTATCTTCCATACATATTCCAGAAATACAAGTTGATACCTAATGATAAGATAGAGAAACAGTCTTTGGAAAATCTTGATCTTTCAGATAGTTTATGAGAAATTGGTGTACAAGCTATTCTAAATGCTGAGTCATGATATATATAAGGTGAAGAGTCTAAAGTCTTTGAAAGTTTAAAAAGTTTGAGTCAGGTAGATAAACTCTTGCTCATGATTTTAAACTTTGCGCTGTTAAAAGGAGATAAAAATATCAAGTAAAAATGAAAAAGTGTAAATCTCGGAATGGATAATATATATATATATATATATATATATATATATATATATATATATATATATCTGGAATATATAAATTCCTAGGAGATATGTAGCTCTATCATATTATCCTAGAATTAAAAAATGAAAATTTAATAATGAAAACATTTTGGCCATGCTAAAATATACATATATACTTCCAGACCTCAGTCTCTAGCCTGTTAGTTGAACTTTCCTATTTTTTTAGCATTTGGTACACATGCTGTGTACACGGTAGTGTACTTATAAATTGTATTTCATGTAGAATACCCATTACTGATATTATTTTTTTTACTTTCACTTACATAGGTAATATATGAAATATATAGTAAGAGAAAGTATTGCCATTTTTTTTTAATCTGAGTTTTCAACAGAGATACATATTTTAAGGTCCCCTGAGTCCAAACAACCAAGTCCCACAAAATGGTCTCTGTGTGCGTGTGTGTCTGTCTATGTGAATGTGTACGTGTAAACAATCTAGCTCAAAAACAAAAAGTCAACTTTTTCCTAAAAATCAGCTAACTGGAAGTGGCACTTTATATCAACAATGTTACAATTTATTTTACGATTTTCTTAAAAACGGCTCTAACGAATTTGATTAAGCTCAGTGTATCAATGTATAATTAAGTGGTCTTTAATATCATTTAGATCTTATTCCCATTAACGGAGCTTAAATGTCTAATGTTCAAAATGTCTTCCTCTAGAGTACCTTTAATTTGGTTTATTATAAATGATTAATTATCTCTCATTGTTAGGAGTAATGAAAAAAGGATAAATATAACTTTTGAAAGAATTTGATAATTGAATAATGGAGAAAAATAGAAAAATGCTTATTCGGATCGAAAATTAATCTCTGGAAATAATAGTCAGAAGATAGAAGTTATTAAAAAGACAATATATATTGTTGGAAAGCAGAGAATTTTAGTAAAAATAATATTTAATAAATAAAGTTGTAGAAGGTAACATAGAGTGTTGAAAAAATAGAAATTATAATTTCTGAAAACTAATTATCTAATGTAAATCACATGTCTTCAAGGAAATTAAATGAAATTGTCTCACAAAACGTAAACTTTAAACAAAAATATATATATTTGAAAAAAGTATTTAAAATCAAAGGAATGACATTGTTTAAGTTACTATTCCATTGTACTTGTGTAAAATACAAAAATATTTCATGGATTTGTTTATAACCTTAAATTTATTTACTGTAGTTTAATAGCTCTAGATCTGATTTTATATTTAAATAATTAGATATTTATCATCCGTTTATTCCAAAACATCATCGTGTAACCTTTTATAAAATTAAATTAGTGATTAATTTGATGAGTTTTCACTTTGTGATATCTCAACAGTATCCACTTATAATTAGTGTGATAACTTTTGACCTATCTATGACAGGTAATGCAAATCTCCTAATTCCATTTTAGTAAACTTGGCATTGGAAAATAACAGTTTGATAACTAATAGTCCTACAACTCACAATCAATGGATTGTACAATCTATAATCAACTACTGATATAATGCATAGTATTTTTTGTTATTTTAATGGTATTAATGATTTGTTACCAATGAACTTTAGGTCGGTTAAAAATGGACTTCAAAAATTTTATAATAGCCCAATATTGCCAGAAAATAATTTCTATTCAAAATATAGTGGTAAGTGAAAGTTGTATGTTGCACGCACCATATTTTTTTTCTCTTTCAAATTATTAGAGGATGGAGAAATGATATTCCCAACCCTTAAGTCTGTGTCTTCGGAATGTGTAATCTATAAACACCTTATTTTTCTACTGTGCCTTGACATTATAAAAGCTACAATTACAGAATAGGTCTTTAGTTTTAGTATTGGAGCGCAGAATGTACTGCACGGGAGTCTTTCTCGATGTAGAACAGGCTTTTGATCGAGTCTGGCACCCTACATACTTCCTCATTATCTGTTCCTATCTAACTGATAGATCCTTCAAAGTAAATCATAATAATGCCTATTCATCCCTTTTTTCCCAGTCTGCTGGTCTTCCTCAAGGTAGTATCCTAGGTCCTTTACAAGGTTGTTACCTCAAGGTTGTTCCTTTACACAGTTTATACAGTTAATATCCCAACCCATCCTAACACTGTCATTACCATGTATTTTGATGATATATGTGTCCTATCACTTAATAACGATCTAACAATTGCATCCCAAACCCTTCAATCACACATCGCAAACCTTGAAGAATGGTTTCAAAACTGGAGGATAAAAATAAATTCCAATAAATCCCATCAAATCACCTTTACCCTTTGTCGTAAACCTATGTCCTCTTGTCCTACAGTATCCTTTAATAATACCCCACTTATCCCTGTTGAGCAAATTCGATACCTTGGACTCCACTTAGACAAACGTCTAACTTGGAATCCTCATACCAGACTGAAACGACAAGAAACAGCTTGACGTTTCCGACTACTCCAGCACTTACTAGACAAATGCTCTAAGCTCCCAGTCAATAACAAAAGACTTATATACATGACTACAATAAGACCTATTTGGACTTACGGAGTTGAGCTCTGGGGCTCCACTAAGCCATCGAATTTCTCTCGTATCCAATCCTTACAATCCAAAATCCTTCGTAAAATCCCCACAGTTCCTTACTCTTACTCTCGATTTGTCACAAACAAAATCATCCATAACGAACTTAATGTTCCTTATGTTTCTGACCTGGTCCAATCCACATACCTATCCTTCCATAGCAAACTTCAGAACCATCCTAACCCTCTCGTTTCTAACCTTGCTTCCTTCTCGATCCCTGACAACTCTCCGAGGCGTCTGAAAAGAAGATGGCCTCGAAATCTTCTTTTGTAAATACATTTTTAGAGTGCAACCAGTGTGTAGTTTCTCAACAAGTGATTTCATGTTGTTATATTCTTTTGTTCACATTTACTGAATGTAAATATCATCAATAAAAAATAAAAAAAAAGTTTTAGTGAATGATTTTTCAAGTGGCCATTATCCAAATATTTCTGAATGAATTTATCCAATATCATTGAAAAAAAACTAATATTTAAAAAAAAATTGCTAACTAATATTTTCACATTTTAGTTCCTGTATTATTTAATTGTTTTCTTAAACAGAAATAGCCAATTATTTTGTATTTTAAATTAAAATACCCTTTACTTATTGAAAAACCGATGTTTCCTTCAAAAGGAAATCAATATTTGAATTCTATTAATAAACAAGCATTACCTTACTTACCAATAATAACTAAAATAGAAGTGGAAAAATGGATAACAGGAGTATAAATCTATCATTAAACTTAAAATATATTTGATAAAATTTGAGAGATAAAAGAAAATAATAAAATATGTAACATGGTTTTAAAACTGTTTATTATCTTTTAACTGTTAAAGTATACAATCGTTGTTCATAGTTTTATTCAAATGAGAAATCAGGTAACTGTAACTGAACCTGAAAATTACAATAAATTAACAATAAACTCTAATGAAATCTGCTCCTATTTAATCTGCTTTGGTTTACTAAAATGCTACTTTATTTAAAAGTATATCTATTAAATTGAGAGATAGAGAAATAATTCATGATTTTAAATGTACCACCACCATGCTGGATAATACCATATATCTGAACCTCAAAGATAAACTGTGCAATGTTAACACTGTGCTGTTTTAAAAAATTTGCTTTAATGCACCTAGCTTATTAGCTGGATTTGCCATATTTAGTATACATTATGTAGACCATTTGGCTGAACTAGCTGATCAAAATATAATTTATAACTGATTATAAGAAGCTACTCAATTCAAAAGTTTGTCAATAGTTAATCTCTGAAATCTTTTCCTTATAAATATTATAAAATATGTGGAATGAATTAATTATAAAAGTAAAACTTTGTTAAATAATTAATTACATTATTACTAAACTGTGCCGAACATAGATGAAAAAAAAATTCAACCATTGGGATTGATAATATGTGCTTCGGTGGTGATTAGTTTCACATTTCAAAATCTAAACAAACAAACAGATATTTACCTTCTGTGCTTGCTCATGAAGACAGGTTATCGTTTTTACTCCCAGTTGACAGAGGTCTTTCTCTTTTTCAGACACAGCTGAAACAAACAATAATTAAGTGTGATTAAAGTGTAATTAATTTTAATTTTACATTAAAATCTTTTTTCACTTATGAGCTAATTTTTACTTATTTATTCCATTGATTACATTATGATATCAACTATGTTATTAAGAAATTGTTAGAAGTTATACTTTTAGCACAAATATCGACCACTTGGTTTGCCTTGTCAATTCCCTCAGGTGAATCAAACTTCTCAGGATTGGATATCTTAAAGGTTGCCCAATCCAATGTTAAATCTTTAACCTGAAAGTTCGGAAAAAAAACATAATATTTTACTATCAAGATTTATAATAATAATCATTATTATATTTGTCTAATGTCATAAACTAAACATAGACTAATAAATATTCCTCACAGTAATTTGGAAATCCTCCAAAAAGGAAATTTTAGGACATACTTTAAAACTGCAAATAACAGGTAAAACATTTTAATGAATGAGTTACTAAAATTTAAAACAATATAAGTTACAAAAATATGGTTTTATAGATACAAAGTTGGGTTTGAATAGAAAAGAAAATCACTATTGTTAACAGTTAAAAATTCATAAAAGGTTTGTGGAAAGTTCAAATGCAGAATTGTTCTAGCTTAGTGAAATTAGCCTTTGTTTTGAATATAACACTAAAAAAGTTACTTCAGCAGTATAAGAGATGAAAATGCATTAACTTTACAAATTTTATGTATGATACTTACAAATCCCATTTTATCCATGAAACAGCCAACAATACACTAGAAAAAATAATCACATATATTTATTATTAAAAATATATTTATTTAAATATGTAATTAGTAGAAAAAACATTGTATTTTTTTACTAAAAAAAAATTATTGAGTTGAACTTTGCTGTATGTATTTTTGAAAGATAATGCAGTATTTTTGGAGAAACTATAAAAGACTTGCTTGCAGTACTAACTATAATTACCAGTAGTTCTACTTTTGTCAGCAGTGCATTTTATATTTCAAATTATTTTAATATGATATATTTTCTTAATTTAGCTTAGGTTCCTATCACTAAACATGCATCTATAAACTCTTCTATAACTTTCTGTAGAGCCCACCGAGACTCTAAAATACTTTTTGAGTTTTATATATCACTACCAATTATTATCTTCTCATATTTTCAAAAAATGCCTAGTTGTAATCCCACAAAACAAACAAAACAAAACAGTTAAAACATTAAACTATAAGTTACAATTTTAATAAAATAAAAGATAGAAGAAAGAATACTCATGGTTACAGAATACGAATAATCTCTACATGTTATAAAAAATAAAAATAAAGATCAGTTTCGAAATATCTACTTTACAAAAAGAATCCTTAACCTACTACTCTCTTCTGATTTACTGTTCTACTTGAAATCCTGGCAATGATTTGCAATATAAAGATGTGGTTGGTAGTGCTTAGACTATTCCTCCCTCAGTAACTGACCTTATCTCTTTATACGTGCTGAATATAATTGTGTGTGTACATATAAACATATATATATATATATATATATATATATATATATATATATATATATATATATAAATCACCACAATTCAAAAATATTGAATAATATATTTTACCTGTTTTTCTTTAGCCTCTGGAAGTTTATCTGTCTTCATCAATTCAACAACTTCCTCTGTTAAAAAAAAATAATAAACTTTGGATATTACTATATATTAATATTTCAATATTTTGAGCTATTATTAGATTATAAATGTAATTTAAAAATCAATGAAGTAAAATCAACAAACTTGCCTTTTTCCAGACCATGCTTCTTCATACAATCAGTCAAAGAAGATATCAATTTCTGTTTGTACTCAGGAGTCATCTGAAACATTAATAATATCAAATTTAACATAAGGATCTAACTACTTATTATTGCAGTCATAGATGTATACGTATTTACTGATAATCACATAAAATTAATAAAATACAGATTTATACACCCATTGAAGTGATAATTATGGTTATATTTTGATTTATTTATTTTAGTACAAATACAGGCATGTGTTAATATTATATAACTTGAAGAATAAACAAAATTACTAAAGGAACAATTTCAAGTAATTACAATTTCAGTAATTTCAACTAATTGCTGCTTGAGATTTATCAAATTAATGAAAAGTACCTATTAAAGAAAATATTCATATTACAAAATTTGTATGTATGTTCGAGAAAAATGGAAACAATAAAACATTAAAATTCAATACATAAATACAAATTGATTTATCTGTTTATATTGTGAAGTGTTTTTTAATAACCGAGTTTGTTTTTTTTACTTTTGGAAGAATCTCGTTACAGATTTGTAGCTACAGAAAGTTTGTGCAAAGTTTTGTTTGAAAAGCTTTTGTTGCCACACAAAATGTTTTCCTGTTTCCCATAAGATTGGAAAACAGAAATGAGACATGACTAAATTGGAGTCACATTCTACTTTTACTTTCCTACTACAATGGAAGAAAAATATTCAAATTTTGTTAAAAGAGAACTGAAATAGCACTAAAATCCAATATAATTCATGTATCCAATATCTCCCGTCGTACCTTTTCTACCCTAAAACACTTAAATATCCTGTGACACCTGTTTCCTTTTAAAATCCGTAGACTCCTGGTCACCTCCTTAATATTTCCCCACTTCGACTATTGATGCACGGTATATGGGGGCCGTCTCTGGGGATCTCGAGGCGAAACTAAAACCTTTGATAAATTGCTTTGTACGATTCATCTTTGGGATCCCAAGAGATGCCCCTGTTTCCTGTTTCTATGAAGAACTGAAATGGCTTTATCCTTCCTACCGCCGTAAGTATTTCCTGGCATCCTTCCTTTTCCAAGTAATTCACTCCCGCCGTCCTTCATACATCTCCGAGCTCCTTCAATTTAAATCCTCAGTCCACTCCCGCAATACCCGTTCCCGGTCTTCAGATTTTTTATATAATGGCCCACCAAACCGCTGCTTTCGATAAATCTTTTATTATTCGATCCTCAACCCTATGGAACTCCATCCCTCCCCACATCCGTCAATCCAAAACTCTTCCTACCTTTAAATCCCAACTGTTTAATCATTTCTTATCCATCCAGCCCTCATAAAATTGTAAATAGCTACTACTGTATATATGTATATAAATTATTAAATTGTTTTTCATTATTTTTACTTCATGTTTATTTTCAATTTTTTATTTTTTATTATTAACTGATTTAAATTAGAAAGTAACTTATTATTTCTTTTATTATCTTTTTTTATTTTGACTATTTAATGAAACTATATTCTTGTTTATGTATCTCTGAGGCTCCTTAGCCCACATTTTTGTCTCTCTGTATTAGTCTAAAGTGACTCATACCAGAATAAATAAAGCATTATTATTATTATTATAATCAATGTCAAAGTAAAATAGTTAATTATTTAAATAATGATAAGAGTACAGTAGCACGAGGGAGTTCTGTAGGGACATAGAATTGAACAAATTATACTTCTTGTCTTATGGTGGAATTAATACAAATAAGGATTTAAAAATAACTGATGATTCAAATTTCTCTCTTTAAAAAAAAATTACGTATAAAAGTCTGTATTGCAGGTAAAATTGTAATTATTATTTGTTAGTGAAATAAAAATTATTCAAAAAACGATGTAGGTATTATTTGTTCATGTTAAAGTTAAAATTAACTGCAGACAATATTATCTACACTGTTTTTGCTTTCTCCTTATCTTTATATTTTATATTATTTTTACTAAATCTGTTAAGTTCCATCTATACATCATTCTCGGATATAACTAAAAACAAATTTTAAATTATATGATGTTGGAAATAAAATAGATGAGATATATAAAATAATTAATAATATATCACCAACAGAACAGCACCGACTTTAATTTATAATAAACAACTAACAATATAGATAATGGAAGGAGTGATCATAAAATCTACAATTATTTCGAAAACTAAGCCTCCAATAGCATAAGAGACCTCTAATTCGTAGAAATCCGAAAAGTTGAAATTAATCAATTACAAATAGATAGACGGGAGACTGTCCTTGAATACCATAACATGGACCAATATGAAAGAAATGTTAAATGAAATAAGTATTTTTCTTATAATTGATAACATAGTTGACATAGATATATAATAGTACATGAGATAATATTATTACTTAACATATTCTTTGAAATAAAAGTATTTGTTACATAACAAATACAATTAACTCTATTTATATATTCTTATTTAAAAAGATTTATTTCGTGAAGTTAAGTACTTAAATAAAAATATTTGAATATTATTTGAAGGAATAAATAAATACTTATTTAAATAACTTGCTAGCTTTGATCAGCAAGCTGAGATGGCTCACAACTGGGTCCTCTGTTGCCCTTCTGTTACAACTATGTTGCACCTCTGCTGCCCCTGTGCTTTGCCTGCCCTACGCTCAATTTGCGGCAGACCTCTATTTCTTTAATTTTTACTTTCACTTACGTATATATGTAATATATAGTAAGGGTAAGTATTCCGATAGTGAAAATTTCGAATCTGAGTTTTCAACCGAAATACATGTTTTGAGGTCCAACTAACCAAGACCCAAAAAATGGTGTGTGTGTGTGTGTGTGTTAGCAGTCTAGCTCAATAACGAAAAGTTGTACGAAACTGATATTACGTATTTAAGATAGGTATAAGCCTTAGATGTGACAGCAACTTTTTCCTTAAAATAAGCTAATCAGAAGTGCCACTTTATATCAACGCTGAAACACATTTTTACAATTTTATCAAAAACGGCTCTAAAAATTTTAATTAAACTCGGTATCATTGTATAATTAAGTGGTCTTTAATATCATTTAGGTCTTATCTCCGTTGATGTCACTTTACAGGGCTTAAATGCCCAATGTTCATATGTGTCTTCCTCTGAAGAAAAAATGCTAAATATAACTTTTGAAAGAATTTGATAATTGAATAAAGGAGAAAAAAATAAAAATGCTTATCCAGGTCGAAAATAAATCCTCAGTAATACTAGTCAGAAGGTATACTTATAAAATATCATTGGAAAGCAGAGAATTTAAGAAAAAACAATATCTAATATAGAAAGTCGTAGAAGGTAACGGAGAGTGGCGAAAAAAATTATAAAAAATCATTTTTGAAAACTAATATTATTTAACGTTAATCACATGTTTTCAAGAAAATGAATTGAAATTTACTGATTAAATATAAACTTTAAAAATATTTTTAAGTTTGAAAAATATTTTTGAGTGTGATAACTTTTGATCTGACTATGACAGACAATGCAAATCTCTTAATTACATTTTAATAAACATTGCAATGGAAAATAACTGTTTAATAACTAATACTCGTACAATCCATAATCAACCGATGATATAATAAATAAAACTTTTGTTATTTTAATGGTGTTTATGATTTGTTAACTGTAATTTTTTAGCTTTACCTCAGTTAAAAATGCAATTCAAAAATTTTATAATAGCCCAACATGGACAGAAAATAATTTCTATTCAAAGTTGAGCAGTAAGTGAAAGTTGTGTGTTGAGTGCACCAGATTTTTTATAATTATCATGAGAGTTATGTGTTTGTGTTGACTCTAAAAATTATTTAAGGGTTTTTTGAGTGAATGGCTAAAATGATTTGTAAGTTTGATGTCTCAAATTATTAATGAGATCACCTGCGTGTTTTTTTTTCATATATTTGTGATGTTTTTAAGATAATGTGATGTTTAGAGTATTTGTCATTTAAATTCTTTAATGAACTCTATTAGTCAGTTATTAGAATGATTATGTTTTGAGTTATTTCCATTGAGAAGAATTTCTACTTCCTAGGATTAACTAACATGTGTTTCTTCTGGGAAAATAAAACTGAAAATGAGAGTAAATTTATCGATATTTAATTATGCAAGTAAGGGATTATAAAAAATTAAAAATATTTAAAAAGCATAGTTAAAATTGTCATCTCTTAATATGAGAAAAACATTAAATGTAACATTGAAATATGTGAATTTTCTTCTTTTTTTCTACTAAGAGTTTAAAATTTTCTTTGTTAATCGCATTAAATAATAGGGAATGCTAAGTCAACACTAATATTGGTGTAAATATGAATACATATATATTCAATGTGCATACACAGTGATATACATCTATAGTCATTAATTGGAATTTTTTAACTTTGGATATTTTTATAAAATATTATATTAACATACTTTTTTTTCTTTTTCTTTTTATTGGGGAGGGAAGGGGAGGAGCCCTCCCCTTTAAAGGCTATATGCAGCTTTTTCAGGCTAGAGAGTGAGGCCAGGGATTTAAAAGAATCCCCTGGCACTGGGATGCGAACTCATGACTATTTTTATGCAGTTATATGTATCAGGTTGCCATGCATCAGGCAAGTGGTGCTGTGCATAAATGTTAGCCCATTTGGCTAACGAAAAGAATTAATGCAATAAAAATATAGTAACCTGCTGTTCGAGTAATTTACTAAATTTCGTATTTTTTGATAGTTTTAAAATTTTAAAATTAGTTAAAGAAACTTTCGCGGGTTATATTGAAGGTGCTTGAAGGTCATAGTTTGGAGATACCTCTGCTCTACAGTATTCATTAGCTGACGAACGAAAATTTTTATAATTTTTTATATTCATTCTCAAATCCACATTAATTTATAAAATATAACATGGAAAAACGACTCTTCTAGAAATTGCACGTTCACTTTGTTATAAATAAATTATTAACCATCAATTACTACTATTTTTACTATTCGCTATTTAATTTCAAAAGTGTGAATATTGGAAATTTTCAAAATTAAATAGCGGGTAATAGATCTAGAAGTCCTATAAATTATTGTTAAACTCACGGCCCCAGAGAGGCAGATGACGGCGAGAAGAGTGGTGAGGCAGAGTACAGCGTTCATCTTGAAGAAGACTTGTTCATTCCTGCTGGAAGAGTTGTCTTATATAGCCAAAGCGAAAAGGATGACGCTACTTTTCATCCCCTCCATCCTCCTCGATGGAAACTATTTAGTGGTAAATCACAGGTACATCCTGTCATTGATTCGTTTTTAATATTATAATATACCATGTCAACGTTGCGTGATGTCATATGACACAATAATTATTAAATTCTTTACTGATAGAAGAGTTGTTTAATTTTAAATAAATGTTTTATATACATTTTCACGAGAATGGAAAAAGAGGAACTTCATCCGCCGAAAATAACAATTGAGGAAAACAAACACGACTGTTTAAAATAGAAGTACCAATACTCGTGAATAACGGCGGGTAAGTTATCACTCATTAGATAGAGGAATATTAAATAATTGACCCAGCTAGTGAGAAATTATTCTTTATAGACACATCTATGAAATTATTTCATTACTTTGGCTATATCTACAATGACCAATTTGTAATAGCTCCAGAATAGTTAGCTGAGAGATTTATACAAATTTCTCATATCGACAAAATAAAATATTTTCCTAATTCTGTGGGCAACAATACAGTTTCCCTTCCCAAACTACCTCTGGATTCTTTCTTGTTATAGCATGTTTAAAACTAAATTATGATACTGAAATAATTATCTGAATACTATTTATGCCATAGCCATTTTTCCATATTAAGAAAAATAATAATTTTCTTCGCACTAATAACTTGTGGTTTATTATTTTCAATGAAGAATCGTTGAAAATAAAACTTTTCCCACCTCTCTAAATTTGTGATTTTACTTTCCAAATCCAAGTAATCCGAAAATCATATTAAAACAAATTATCCATTCTACACCCGTGGCATTTTGCCAATACTATTGGCCGGATTTTTTGGGGGCAACAAAGGAACTCGACATCATCAGTCGGTATTTCGTTTCGAAGTCGTGGAAGATTTACTTGATACTCTAAAAAATATAGAATAGAAAATAAACTTTATTCTGGAACGAGGTGGCTTAAGAATAACAACTATGAAACCAAATCTGTAATAAAAAATAAAAACCACATCTGGCAAAAAACTACATAGATCAAAATTAAAGAATATATACAATATCTTCAGTGAAAGTATATTGAAACAAATAAAAAAGTAACACCATTTTGAAAAAAAACATTATTTAATAAGTGAAAAGAAAAACAGAAATCGGGTAAAATAAAAAATAAAATGTTAGCACAATGGATTGATTCTTAAAATTAAAACTCAAACAATTTCAACAACCATTCACCTCAGTCAAAATTTGATTCATAATATTTATTTCATTGTACAACGTCATTTTGGGACGTGAGAAGGAATTGGTAGAGATGATATTTGAATGAGGATAAAGAAGAGGCATGGCGGATATCAGATGGCAAGTAGTTCCAGATCGGCCAATAAAGGAATATTCAAATGTCTATGGAAAAGACATTTTATATACTAATTAAAATACCAGTTGAGAAAAAAAATAAAATAGGAAGAAAACATGTCAGTAGAACAGGTAAATTAAAAAATATACATATATTAAAATAAAAACACTTTTAAAAAAGAAACAAATACATTGAAAGGATAGTAAAGCGAGAAAACCACATACTTGTCTCACATTAATTTCTATGAACAATATTTACATTCAGCCAAGGGAACTCCGAACCATGCTTTGCTGCTCTCATGTAAAAGGCAAAGCAGAGCTCAAAGAGATCCCAGTGCTTCTATCCCAGTCGCATTACTGTTTAAAAGCCAGTGGAGACTGAGTGAGAGCGCTAAAGCCACATACGCTCAGGACTTAAGTGGAGAAGCATCCCACTGTCAGAACTACAATAGAATATTTACAGAAGATATCGGGGCCATTGCCGTTTCAATCTTCGTGTGGATTAGAAGGATTGAAGGACTTGGACTAGGAGACTTGGAGCTGCTAAGGGATTAGGACGATGGACAAGCTTTTGATAAAAGTTTGAGAATAAGGAAAGAATAAGGTCGAGGACAAAGGACTTTGGATTGAAAGGATTGGATACGTTTGATGTTCGAAGATTTAGCTGTCCCCCACAGTTCAAGTCCATACGTCCAGATGGGTTTTAGTATGGTCTTATAGGCTAGTAGTTTGTATTCAATTGAGAGATGTAAGTTTTTGTTCAGCAGCCTATATAATTGTCCAAATCGTCGGTCAAGTTCTTGCCTTTTGAGTCTGGTATGAGGAATTCCATGTCAGTCCCTTGTCGAGAAGGAAGCCCAAGTAACGGACTGTGTGAGAGATTCGATCTTAGGATTAAATATAAGGGTTGGTGTGAGTGGGGTTTGAGTTTGAAAAGCAAGCCATCTTGCCACACCCAGTTACTAACGACTTTCTTCTAATTATTTATTCCCGTATTTGACTTTTTTTTCATATCTTTTATTTTCTTTTTTTTAATTTCATTTAAACTATAAATTATATTGTGAAAAAAGTCATTTATGAGCTATATAACCAATAATGATAGTAAATAAATCTATGAGAAGGAGAAATATATGAGTATAGAAATCTATGAGAAATTTAGGAGTTTGTGCCATTAATTTTTTGATTACTGCAATTTTATTTACAATCATTGATAAACGGGGTGAAGAGGTGCTGATTAAAAGATTAAATGAGCAGACTGTTATTCGCGAATCTATTACTCCTGATTCAAGTTTATCCTGCAATGTTGGTAATATCTCTTCATGTGGATAGCTAATGGGCATACTCAAACACTTTTAAATGATTCCTATATCGACGAAAAATGAGGCAGTCATAAATATTCTTACTCAATAAGTAAAAAAAGAAATCGGTAAGAAACTCTTTATTGGCATCCTCATAAATTACATATCAGAGTAATTCTCAGATTACATTATCGGATCCAAATGGAACATAATGCTTTCTGACGGCTTCATTTGGTAGATCTGGCCAATTAGATATGCGAGAGTCCTTACTTTTTTTGTATCTCGATAGAAGTTGATGGATAATTTTTTTGTTTATCAAACGTAATATGCTCTTCTACCTTTTTATATAATAATGTAAGATCTTTAAATTTTGTATAATTAATTTGAGACTTATCAATTTTCTGGAAAAAACATAATTTTATTAAATATTAATAAAATCGACCTTAAAAAATTATTTTTTTAAATTCTTTATTTATTTATTAAAATTTACAACTGTACTTAATAAATACAACTAGTAAATAAGAGCAAATAAAGACTCATGACATGAACAGAGTCTTGAAGACACTACCCAATGATAGCACTCCCAAAGAAATAAAAAGATCAGGAGGCCATCTTCTTTTCAGACCCCTAGTAGGATTATCAGGAATTGAGGAAGAAGCAAGGCTGGAACAAGTTGGTTCGGATGGGACTGGAGTTCGTTATGAAAGGATGTAATGAAACCTTGCTAAAAATAAAAAATATCTTAAGTCGATTATAAGATAATTCTCGTGCAAACAATCTGCCATACAACACTTCAATGGTGAATTATTCACGTTAGTAATTTATTTTGTGTACTTAAAATTCTATAGAAAATACATTGTTGCTATTAAGTAAAATGGAAAATTTTAAAAAGACAATAGAGTTATGAACAATCTATTTTATATTTTACTTCATAAAATTAAAAATACAGAAAATGTATTTTAAAATATATTATTTGAAATACTGCTCAAATCTGGTTTATCTCTAACTAGTGCTGAGACAAAGATAAATCTACCATGTTTGTACAGTCATTAACGTAGCCAAAATGGCGATTTGAAGTAAATAAATAAACAGGAATATATATGTATATATACAAGAGCTTAATGAGGGATCGACAGAAACTGATCGGCTACATCTGTTAGATTACTTTAAATTATTGGAGAGAGGCGAAACAATATTCTCGCTCTCTCAACATTTTTATTGAGAGGGGGGGGGTGAGGGATGATCGCCCCATCGTCTCCCTCCTCTCCGAAGTCGGCGCCTATTTAAGGCCATAGGTTCCAACATGTCATTAAAAATTCACTTTTTGCCCACTCATTTGGATTTCTTCCTTCCAGTTTCCAATGAACATGCAGAACGGTTTCATCAAGATATTGCCCTAATGGAGAAGAGGTATAGCGGAAATGTAATGAGAAGATGTTTGCTGCCTATTGTAGGACATTGGAACGTGAGACAGCCTATGAACACTATAAAGAAAAAACTGTTATAGCCTTAACAATTACCATATGTTTACTTATATTAGGATTAATGTACGTCATATGTTTCTAGTAGCAGTATTATTCAATGTGATGGTTGATATGTGCGTGTGTTAAAAATAAAAGTGTATAAATTTCAACTTATTCTATTTCTAAGAATAACAGATATTCTCAGAACTTTCCAATACACTCAAGTCACAACAAATTGGCGACGAAGAACAAAAAGGAAAAAGAAGAAGTAAATAAATAAATTTCAGTGCAATACCGTGAATTATAATTATATTATTTTCAATTTCACTCAAAGAAACAAAGAGAGAAACACTTTATTTTCATAAAATATAAAATATAAAGGATTGCTGCCCAATTATATTGGGTTGCTATATACACAGCATACTCTTCTATCCTTAGGACAATATATGAACTAATATATAAATATACAGAAGTATTAGTTAATATTAGTAAAATAGATATATATACGTATACATTTTTATTATAATTTTTTTTTCTTTTCTCCTTTTTCCTTTCTTTCATTGTTCATGTTTTTTTTAAAACATTTAGTTTCCCTTTCTCTCATTTCTCTCTCTTTATCTCTATTGTTTTCAATTATTTATTAAATAAAGAAATAAATACATAAATTAAAACTCTTGGGCTAGCCATGCACGTGGTGGTGAATGATTCCCAGGGAGTCGAGGACTATATTTTCAGCCAATCTCGCTACGTCCTTAATGTCGACGCCTAGTTCCTCGAGTAAGCTCCTTGTTCTTTTTGGGATAGTTCCGCGAGACCCAAACCAGAGGCCTCTCACG